CACCTGCCCCCCCCCCCACCCCCCACCCCCAAACGTAAGTCCAGAGATCTAAAATTTGGGGCCCATTAGCTTAAGCGGTGGGAATGGGTCACCTTTTTGGAGAATCTATTATTCTTGTGCGCATCCATATTCAGAAGCCTAGCACGCGAGTGCTTTCAATTGGCGTACTTTTTGGCATGATGGCCCAGTGGGGCAGGTTTACATTTTATATTCATTAAATGCTCCGCTTTGACCTTACCCCAACCACCAGTAAATGTCAGCTCAAACCTTACAGAAAAGTATCTAGTTTTTGTTATACAAAGACTATTCTTAGAGTCTTTAATAGGGGTTTGTGAGATACAAAACACGGACCTCATAGTAAGCAAGCGTTTATTATATTTGTCTGTTTGAGTAAAGAGAGGCACATCGATACAATAATAGTCGTTCAGTGCTGGAGAAAAAAATAAGACAGACAGATACAACAGAGGGAAACTAAAGAAGTAGGACCTTTCAGTCGCTACTTCAGTATTACAAAGTTGCATGTGGCATTTTGGCTGTTTTGAGTAACTTAGACTGAAAAGCCAGAAAGCGAATGCTCTTCTATCTGCTCTATCAAATCGTAAGAATTTTCGGAGTCGCTGTCAAGCTATTCAAAGAATAGAATTCGAAAAAGCTGGACATAAAATCTATTATTTTATTGTGAAACTTATACATTTTGATGTTGAATTTCTAAAAAAAACCAAGGTACTGAGCAAATAGAACTTTGTTATTCTGGGGTAGCGCAGTGGCGCCCTCCAGCTTCAACCACCCGCGCGTGTTAATTAATTATATTTATATTTTTAAATGTTTGAAAAATAATAATACATGGTCCTGTGCAAAGAACACAGGCAGGCCAGACCGTTCGTGAATATTAATTTTATTTAGCCGTGTGCTTCCAGCAGACAACTCGCGGCGAGTCATTCATGACTAAGGCAGACGGTGACTCCTCTCGCAGTCCTTAGGGTGGGGCGGGATGGGGAAAAAGAGGAGGGGGAGAAGGTGGGATGAGAAAACAGAGGAGGGGAGGGGGGAGGGGAGAGGGAGGGGCGGGATGGGAAAACAGAGGAGGGGGGGGGGGAGGGGAGAGTGCGGGGCGGGGGAGGGGGGGCTGGCAGACGGCGACCGGAACAACATCGCTTTTCTATTCAAATGAAAAGGCATTGTTGAAAGCCAACAGGAGCAAAGGCAATATCGAGTAGAGTCGTTTTGCATAGAAAAGTCGTCGTGCCCCTCATCACAAACTACACACGAGCAGTAGATGCAACCGAGCAACACACACGCAGGCATAGGCACGAATACAAGACGTGTTCGTTGGTAAATACAACATTACACACTCGCATACATACAAACAAAAACACGCACACACAAATACTCCCCCCCCCCTCTCTCCTAAACACACACACAAACACACACTCATCCCTCCCCCTCTCTCTCCCCCCCCCCCTCTCTCTCTCTCTCTCTCACACACACACACACACACACACACATACATATGCTTTGGAGAACCTGAGCGGTTCAGGGTCTTATCCATTTACAAGAAACAGCCAGACCTTTGTAAGCCTGAACAATAAAAAGCAGGAAGCGAATAACAAACTCTGTTGTTGCTGATTCTTAAAGCACCATCTCACCTTTCAACAAAGTAACCCCCCCCCCTCTTCCTAGCCCAAGTAGAAGAGTGCATAACACCCATGAATCACTAAAAGCATACGAACACGTCCTACATTATGGCACCGAGACCTGGCCTTGAACAAAGAAAGAAGAAAACAAAATATCTGCTTTTGAGACGTGGTGCTACCGCAGAATGGCCAGAATTTGCTGGAAAGCAACCCCCTCCCCCCACCCCAAATAAAAAAACGACAATCAAAAAGGCGTGTCACAACACAATACAAACCATGCTTAACAAATAAAATGAAAAGTAGAAAAATATAATACTTTGGTCATATAAAACGCCACCAGACCATCATGAAGCAAATACTCGAAGGCAAGATGAAAGACAAAACGGCAAATGGTGGACTAAGAACAACGTTGACCGATAACATCAAGGCATGGACTGGCGTAAATATGACAGAGTGTATAACGACAGCTAGCGACTGTGAGCAATGACTGGTCATTGCACGTTAACCTGTAACTAAGCCAGAGACAGCACCTTCCGGTATACAGGTACTCCGAATTGCACAAATCGCAAACTCGGAATTACAAAGAGGAGAAGAAGAAGAAGAAGAAGAAGAA